TTTTCCCGAGTAATATCCTGAAGAATATTTTCCAGCTTGGATTCATTCTCTTCATGACATTCAGGTACACCTATCAAACGTAAATTAGGTCTTTTCACATAGTCCCATATTTCTTGGAGACTTTGCTCATTCCTTTTTACTCTTTCTTCTCTAGTCTTGTCTTCTCATTTCATTTCGTAAGTTGGTCTTCAACCTCCGATATCCTTTCTTCTGCTTGATCAATTTGACTGTTAAAAACCTGTGCATACTTCGTGGAGTTCTCGTATTGTATTCTTCAGTTCCATTAATTCACTTATATTCCTCTCTAGATTGTCTATTCTCGTTAGGATTTTGTCAAACCTTTTTTCAAGATTGTCAAGTTTCTTTACATTCGGCTAGAACATGTTCTTTTAACTCACAGAAGTTTCTTATTATCCACTTTCTGAAGCCTAAATCTGTTAATGGAACACACTTGTTCTCCATCAGGCCTTGTTCTCTTGTTGATGAAGAACTGTGATCCCCTGTAAAAGGAGAGGCATTCTGATTTTGGGTATTCTCAGCCTTTTTACACTGGTTTCTTCCCATCATTGTAAATTTATCCACCTGTCATCTTTGTAATTACCGACTTTCAAATTAGGTCTCTGAGTGGAAGTCCAACTTGTTGATTCCCAGCTCCAGAATCTGAGCAACCCACTGCACTGGCTAAAACAGCAGTGTTAAGATTCGTGGTGCTTTTCTGCCTGTGAATCTCCGGTCTGGCTTCCTTCTTGAGTCCCTTTTCCAATCAGCTGAATAGGTGACTGCCTTCCCGGAGCTCCAAATATCGACCAAAAAGGGACCCAGTCCCATTTACTCTACACCAAGAACCGCCGCACTGGGGTGCCAGCAAAACCGCCACACCGGCCACAAGAGTCACACTGGCAACCCGTGGGGCTCCTCCACTGGGAATCTCTGGTCTGTGAGCAACAAAAATTCGTCTGAAAGTGTGGCGTCCTCTCATTCTCTGCACTTTCACTGGGCGCTACAATCCTGAGCTGCTAGTAATCAGCCATCTTGGATCTCTCTCCCCTGAAAGATATTTTCTTAAAAATGAAGAAAGTGGGCCTGTGCATCTGTAATTTCCAAGACAACACCTAACAGCATTTGTTGCTAATGATACAATGAAAGTTTTTTTTTCGAGGCAGAATTTCACTCTTTCACCCAGGCTAGAATGCAGTGGCATGATCTCCACTCATTGCAACCTCTGCCCCCCAGGTTTAAGCGATTCTCCTGCCTCAGCTTCCCGAGTAGCTGGGATTACAGGCATCTGCCACCACGCCCACTTAATTTTTTGTATTTTTAGTAGAGATGGGGTTTTGTCATGTTGGCCAGGCTAATCTCAAACTAACCTGAGGTGATCCAACTGCCTCAGCTTCCTAAGGTGCTACGATTACAAGCGTGAGCTATCACACCTGGCCGAAATGAAAGTTTTAAAGAAAAAATTAGAACTTTGAAAAATTTGTGTTCACCATTATAAATTTGAGAGCGTATGTCTTTTCTGATAAGATCAGCCATGATATTAATTACTTGCAGCTTTATAACATTTCTTCTGTTTTTTCATTGTTCTGGTATTTTAATATGTGCTTGTCATCCCACTAAAACGGTAAACTCTATGAAGGGAGGAATTACTTAATACTTGTTTATGTTCTCTTTAAAACCTAGAGCTGAATCATATGCAGAATAGTCACTGGGTAAGTTTATGTTGACTATTTTGTTATTCTGACTTTTGGTATTAAACTGTGTGTCTGTGTGTGTGTGTGTGTGTGCGTGTGCGTGCACGTGCGCACATGGGAATGTGCACACATATCCATATATGTATTGCGTTCACAAGTATTCCAGGCTCCTGGTGACTCTGTATCTGTCCAAGTTCTTTAGTTCACTTTTTCCCATATAATTTGCTCAAATTTTTCTTTTTTTTTTTTTAAGACAGAGTCTTGCTCTGTCACCAGGCACCAGGCTGCAGTGCAGTGGTGCAATCTCAGCTCACTCCAACCTCCGTCTCCCAGGTTCAAGCAATTCTCCTGCCTCAGCCTCCCAAGTAGCTGGGACTACAGGCACACACCACCACACCCAGCTAATTTTTCTATTTTTCAGTAGAGACAGGGTTTCACCATGTTGGCCAGGTTGGTCTTGATCTTTTGACCTCATGTTCTGCCCGCCTCGACCTCCCAACGTGCTGGGATTATAGGCATGAACCACCGCACCCAGCCTCAGATTTTTCTTTAACTTTTTTTGGTAAATGCAAAACCAAGTAAAATTAATCCAAATAACAAAAATAAATCTTTCTTTTAGAAGTTGCTTAATGACAAACTATGGCACTAAAGCAGGGGTTGATGAACTAAAGCCTGTGAGCCAAATCTGGCCCACTGCCCATTTTTGTAAATCAAGTTTTACAAGACCACAGCTATGCCCATTCATTTACAGACTGTCTATGGTGGCTTTTGCACTACAACAGCAGGTTGTGACAGAAACCATATGGCCCACGGAGCTGAAAATATTTGTTATCTGGCCCTTTATAGAAAAACTTCACCAACTTCTGCTTTAGAGCATGAACCCTTCAAAAATGATTTTTATATTCATTTTAAATTGCATAAGCTATGTTGTATTTTTACAGCAAAAAATTCTTATTTAAAATAAACAAAACCAAGAGAAAAAAAACCCCGAAAATTCTGCAGCTAAAACTCTCAGAAGTCTTCAAAGAGTATCCTGAAAAAAACTGATACAATCTCCCAAGGGGGTTATGTTCCAGTCTTCTCTCTTATGGTTTAAGATTTTATTGTGACTTTTATCCAAGCCTACCTATCAAAGCCAAATTATCTATCATCACCAAAATTATACTGCAAAACTAGGTAGGGTTAAGACATTTGGAGGCCACCCACGAAAAACATTATGGGTGATACCTGCTGTCAGCCATAAATGAATAACTGTAGGAACTGGTCCTCCTGCCATGAATGACTAAAAACCAAACAAAATATATGAAACAACAGCCTTAGACAGTGGGACAAAGGCAGGGCAGGACTATAATTACTGCAAGAAGGGAAAACTGGGAGAGTCTTGCAATGCCTTTTTCCCTTCACAAGGGAGGAGAAATCCAAGGGAATCTTTTTTTTGTTTTTGAGACAGAGTCTTGCTCTGTTGCCTAGGCTGGAGTGTAGTAGCATAATCTTGGCTCATTGCAACCTCCACCTCCCAGGTTCAAGAGATTCTCCTGCCTCAGCCTCCTGAGTAGCTGGGACTACTGGCATACACCACCATGCCTGGCTAATTTTTGTATTTTAGTGGAGACAGAGTTTTACCATGTTAACCTCGAACTTCTGACCTCAGGTGATCCTCCTGCCTCAGCCTCCCAAAGTACTGGGATTACAGGCTTGAGCTACCATGCCTAACCTAGCACAGCAGTCTTGAAGAATTGAGGAGACAGAGACTGGAGTTCAAAGAGGCTGAGGCAACCAGCAGGGGTTTGCAAGAGAAAGCACTGAGAAGGAACTATGTAGATAAAGAGCTCCAGGAATCTGCACTGGGGTCCTCTTGAATCTGATGCTGAATCCTAACATGCCAAGGAACAACTGCTGACAGCTATAAAGTGAAAAACTACCAGAATTGGGAGATGTTCAGTTACACAGAACCTAGGACTGGGAGACATTGAAATTCCATCGAGCCAGAGTACAGCTATCTCACTAAACCCTCGGGGAAATCAAGAGAGACTCCAGAAGGGCCATGCTTTGCAACAAGGCTAAATTAGCCCTAACATAAAGGCTACACTAGACTTGCCCTAACGAAGTTTAACAACAAGCCTGGAAAGGTTCAGCTTAATCCACAATCACTCAGCTGCCCACCAAAACAAACTCCAACACTGTTTAGAAGAGACAATAGGCTGGGCACAATGGCTAATGCCTGTAATCCCAGCACTGTGGGAGGCCAAGGCAGGCAGAGCACATGAGGTCAGGAGTTCGAGACCAGCCTGGCCAACATGGAGAAACCCCCATCTCTACTAAAAATACAAAATTAGCCAGGCATGGTGGTGCATGCCTATAATCCCAGCTACTAGGGAGGCTGAGGCAGGAGAATCGCTTGAACTTGGGAGGCAGAGGTTGTGGTATGCCAAGATCGCATCATTGCACTCCAGCCTGGGCAACATGAGCGAAACTCCGTCACACATGCACACACACACACACACACACACACATGCACGCACACAACAAAATCCAAACACTCAACAACATAATATACACAGAGATGACAGAATTAAAATTCAAGGATATTAAAATAAGCTCCGCCTCCTGGGTTCAAGCAATTCCCCTGCCTCAGCCTCCCAAGTAGCTGGGATTACAGGCACCTGCCACTACACCCAGCTAATATTTTGTATTTTTAGCAGAGATGGGGTGTCATCATGTTGGCCAGACTGGTCTCGAACTCCTGACCTCGTGATCTGCCCACCTCAGCCTCCCAAAGTGGTGGGATTACAGGCACGAGCCACAGTGCCCAGCCTGCAAATAACATCTTTCTAGATCTTCTTGATTGGACAAATGTAGGTAAAATTCATTGAAGTTGAACTTTTCTCATTTTTGTTCAGGACTTTCTTTGCTGGTATCCCTAGCATAAGCTTAGTCTATCTACTGGGCGATCAAGTACGAACAAAGTAAAAACTACTGGAAAATAACAATATCATAACAAATTTATATACCTTGCAGTTCACAAATATCACGTACTTTAGATTGTATGCTCCTTGAGGTCAGGATCTTCATATCTTTGCCCATAAATTTCTAGTGCAGTTTATAGCAGAACTTAACCGAACACACATGAATGAATCAATCTCATTTCACCCTCAGTACCCTGCTGCAGTATGTAGAACTAGATGAGAAAACAGATGCCTAAAGGGGTTAAATCATTCCCCCAAGGATACTCAAAAGGTACTCCCAGAGTGATACCACCACACAGTGTTACCTCAAAGTAGACACAAAAGAAGTCTTAATTTTGCTTACTCTGAGTTTCCACAAGATCCAAAGCAACACTAGAAGCTGTGTCCATACCAGAGTTGATACAGGCTTGGAAGTTTTTCAAGGAGGAGAGAGCAGACTCTACACCGCTGAAGGAGATGAAACCAGTTGAACCTGAATTTGAACTGGAACGTCCTGGCATCTTGAAATTATTACCTATATTTTCAAACAATAAAACAAGATTCATAAGTCAGAATAATAACTGCATAGGAAAATATTCATAAAACTGCTGTAAACATTCATACGAATGTATCCAATATCCCATAAATGTATCCCACAAATAGCCCGTTAGGTATAGCCTGTAGAAAAGACACCAACTCATTGTGCCACCCACCTAGGCCACCAAACACAGCTGGACTCAATAGATGTGGAAGGTAAGCATCCTCGGTTTTTGGAGGAATATTACTCTTTTCCAAAAGAGAGCCTGATTCTGTGGAGAAGTCAACAACAGCACCGTTCTTAAAGGCCAAAAAGGTAAACGGGTTAGAAAAAGTACACCACTCATATGATGCAATTTTCCAAAGGGAAAAAAATACTGATACAATAGTTCATTAGTAAACTGTTTTGAAAACCCATAATTGTTAAACTCTCCAACATATATGCGTATTGAATTCTGCAAACTGTAAAAAAAAAAGAGAAAATCTATTTTCCTGCCAGTTCCTCTGGCTTCAAACAGATGAATAGACTTGGTGAGATCCCAGAGTCAGTAAAAGCAGAATTTCTCTATATTCCTGTCTTCTGGCAGCACATCCACTGTAGCAGTTTCAGGTATTACCTTCATATTTAACACTTCCTAATCGCTATCTTCAACCACAGTTTCTTTAAGCTTAGTAAAGCAATGTCAAGCTGCCTACAAAAGGACAGCTTTGCTTAATTCAGAGGCCATTTGAAATTCAATCCACTGAAGCCAACCAGAAAAGTGGGGAAAATTAGTAGCTGTAAAGGGACGCAAGGGCTATTATCAAGGCTGTATAGCAGCAGCAAAGTGGGTATTTTCATGGAATCAGATAGACATAACATGAAAACTGCTAACCATCTCTGAATATCAGGTTTACCATCTTTAAAATGGGAAGGAATAATCATGGTGTGGTATAGCACACAGTACACAATTAATTAGCATGAAAACCTTCCCTCTGCCCTACCTAAGTGGGGAACTGTGCAGTATCTCTGGCATTTTCATCCTCATCATTGCTATCACCTTCATCTCACAGGTGAACTACTTCTGTAGTTTCTCTGTTATTAGTCCTTTTTAACTAGGTTCATTCATTCATTTCACTCATAAGTATTGAGTACCTACCATGTCAATCATGAGACCCATTCAAAAATACACAGGATATGAAAACAGAAGGGCATAGAGACACGTAAGATACAGAGATACATAAGATTTCTAATTCGAAGTGTTTGTTTACTGCAAACATCCACAGTACAACTCATTGTCAATTCAAATATTTAGTATCTCCTTAAGTGCCAGGCACTTCCTTTAGCATGAGAATATCACAGTTTTCAAGATGAGAAATCCTTTCCTTTTAAAGCATCATTTTGTTATTCTAATTTGATGAAAACCTATCATGAGCCAGGCACTATCCTAGGCACTAAGGATGTTCAGCCTCTGGCCAGGCACGGTGGTTCACACCTGCAATCCCAGCACTTTAGGAGGCCAAGGCAGGACGATCACCTGAGGTCAGGAGTTTGAGACCAGCGTGGCCAACATGGTGAAACGCTCTCTCTACTAAAAATACAAAAATTAGGAGGGCATGGTGGCAGGCGCCTTAATCCCATCTACTCAGGAGGCTGGGAAGGAGAATCATTTGAACCTGGGAGGCAGAGTTTGCACTGAGCTGAGACCTGCACTTCACAGCCTGGGTGACAGAGCAAGACTCAGTCTCAAAAAAAAAAAAAAAGCCTCTACTTCCAGGGGTTCACCATTGAGCAGCAGAGACAGACATAAAACAAACTCAATAATCAAAGCAACATGAGAGTTACTGTAAAACTGAGGCACAGATAAGAAAATGCTCAACTTTGCCTGACCGGATCAGAGAAGGCAACATAGAACTGAGCTTAAAGGATAAAGGACGAAGTTTAGCAAATGGAAGGGCAATGGAGAAGGGCATTCGGGCAAAGGAAAAGGCAGGTAGGAATGAACAGCACAAATCGTTGCAGAGTACATAACTCAAGACAATACTTGACTTTTCCTGATCCTGTTATGCTCCCTTACGACTCCACTCATTATAAACTTCCAACACGTCCTCCTCCACCCTCACTCTCACTGAAAGATCTTCTTTCCTAATTTCCTGAGGAAACAGAAGCAGTCAGAAGAGAGATTTGCAAGCTCCCACCGCTTACCTCCCCACCTATCCACGTCAGTTCTCATACACTCTGCCTTCTTTCCTGTTAAAATGAATAAACTGTTGCTCCTAGATAAGGCCACCTCTACTCCATTTACCCACTAGATCCCACCTCTCCCTCCTACTCCAAGACATTCTCCCAGCAAGTCTCCTTGCTTTCCTGCACCATTACATTTTCCCTCTCCACTGAATCGTTCCCTTCCGCAAATACACCGTTACTTCTCCCATCTCAAAAACATCCTCCGACTTTCCTCCCACCTACCCCTCTGGTTACCAGCCCCATTTCTCCACTCAGCCTTAGGGCAAAACTCCTCTGTAGGTTTGTCTACATTTGTCTCCACATTCTCTCCTTCCATACTCTCTTGAACCCACTCCCACTAGGTTTCCATCTCTACTACTTCACTGCAACTACTCTTGTCAAGGTCACTTGACAAGACCTAATGTTAAACTCATTATCAATGCTCAGCGCTTATCCCCTTTGACCTATCAGCCAACAGTATGCAACACAGTTAATCACTCCCTTCCTGATGCACTTTCTGTACCTGCCTCCCTTGTTCTTGTTCTCATTCTCCTTTACTGGTTCCTCTCCATCTCCTAGAGCTCCGAATGCTGTAGGGCCCCAGGATTCAGAATCCAAAATTCAGAATTCTTCTCCTTCTATCCCCAAATCAAATACAGCCCTGCCTCAGGGCTATGCCTTCCTGGTTCCCTCTGCCAGGATACTTGTCCCCTAGATATCTACTAGGTCAATTCCCTGACTTCCCTAAGGTCTCCCTTGGAATATCACCTCATCAGTAAGGCCTTCCCTGGCTGTCTGATATACCATGCAAGCCCTCCCAACCTCCACCCCCAGGCATTCCCATCCTTCTGCTTCTGCTTTATCTTTCCTCAAGGTAGGCACTGCCACACAACATTCTTGTATTTATTAGGTTTTCAGTCTCTAGTCCCCAATTACACTGTAAGTTCCTCAAAATGACAGACTTTCAGACTTTTTCCATTTCGTTCACTGCTGCATTCCAAGCACCTACTATGCATGCCACATAGTGGCCATTCAACAAAGGCTTACTGAAAGAAGGAATGAATAGAATACTGTCTGTGTATCCCCAGCACCTAAAACAGCGCATCTCTCCAAAACCGTAGTACAGGTGGCATGCCCAGAGCTCAGTGCTCTAATCTCTCTTTTCCATCCTCTCCTATCCACCTAGTATTCCAGGCTAGGCCTATTCCATCTAAATACCATTGGCCAGATCACTCCAGAACTTAAAATGTCCAACATGGAAGGCCCATGTTCCTTCTCTCCTACCTTACCCCTCTCCCAAACCTATTCCTTTTGCAACCTGTGCCATCTTACTAAATAGCAACTCCATCCTTCCATTCCTTGGACCAATAATCTTGGTACACACGTGATCCTTCTCCTCCTCCCCTCATATCCTATACCAAACTCATCACCAATTTTGCCATCTCTGCAGTCAAAATGTCTCCAGAATCTAACCCCTCTCACCAATTCTACTGTTACCACTGTGATTCAAACAATCATCTCCTGCCTGAATTACTCCAACAGCTCCTACCTGGTCTCTCTGCTCTCAGTCTTGCCTCTTCCACCCAATTCTCAACACAGCAGCCAGAGTAAACCTTTGAAAATGTACGTAAGACCATGTGACTTCTCTGCTCAAAAACTCCTTAGGATTTCCTGACTCACCGGGAGCAGTGGCCAAAGAGCTTCATCATAACCAACAACAGTGGTTCCCCAAATGGTTCCTGACCAAGCGTCACCAGTATCACCTATAAACTTGTTAGAAATGCAAATTCTCAGGCCCCAACAATCTATGTTTTAACATGTCCTCTATGTAATTCTAACTGATATATCTAGGAGACATGCAGTATCAGCGTATTAGAATCACCTCATGGCATGTGCCCATTAAAACACTGATTTCTGGACCTCACCCTCAGAATTTCTGATTCAGTATGTCTGGGAGGGGACCTAAGAATCTGCATTTCTAACAAATTTCCAAGTAATGTAGATTTTGCTGATCCAAGAACTGCACTTTGAACACCATTGTTCTACATTATCTGGCCATTGCTAGTACTTCAATAACCTAGGCATGCTTCCACCTTAAGGTCTTTGATCTTGCTAATAAGACAGAGATGCCCGTAAGAAAGACAGAAAAAAGTAGAAAGGGTTGGTCTTAACTCCCTGCTGCCTACCTAATAAAATTCAACATAATTAGCACAGTATCCAAAGCTTTCTACAATACAATGCAAACATGTTTTTCAAACCACAGATTCTACTTTTTACCAAGACAAAACATACATTTCACATAACCTTAACCATCTGATATTTCAGAATAAATGCAACTCCTTTCTGCCACAACCCCTTGAAACAAGCTTGGCAGAGAACAAGCGCCATATTAAAAGTACGAACCAAGTACTATGGAGTTGAAAAAAGAAAGCGATTACACAACCCACTACACTATGATGTTCAAAAAAGGAAAGGATTATAGGTACAACAGGGGAGACATAGGCTTCGTGGAAATGAAGGCACTGAAGCTGGACCATAAGAGGTATTCAGGATTTGGAAAGGTCTAAATTATCAGGGAGAGCCCCATCTTACTAAATAGCAACTCCATCCTTCCATTTCTTGGACCAAAAATCTTGGTACACA